AATGTATACCAATGCAATTTGTTTTTCTTATTTTTGGCAAGATATTGATAAAAAAAAATTAATGTTATAATTCTCATTTTAATTTTATTTATGTTTATCTTCTATTTCTTATATTATATAATTCTTAAAATTATTCCATAAATATATTGTTAGGGGATTTGATAATTGTGTTGAATTTCATTTCATTGTTTTTTTATATAATTTAATTAACAAAAAAATTATAAATATAATTCTAAATTTTGCTAAATTCTGTATTTTTTTATTCTTTTTACCAAGTATTTTCTATCGAATATAAATATATTCAACAGTCAATGGTTGTCCATTATACATTTACATTCAACAAAAGAAATTTTTGTTGATTATAGTTATTTTCGACCACTATTTTTACAATATAAATAATTGTTGATTATATCTATCGATTAAGTTATAATCAACAAAAATCTTTATATAATCGACAACATTTTCTGTCAATACTGTGTTTTTTAGCTGTGAATTTGGTCTTAGGCATTGTTTCATCTTCTTAATCTTGACCTCCGTTCCCTCTATACACTCTATAAGCAAAATCCCAATTCCCACAACTCAAAACCTACTCCTTTTTTAATTGCTTGACAATCCACGTTAAAAATTTTTTTTTCTCGGTAACCGACCCAACAACTGCGCTGTGAGCTTAAAGCCACAAACAAGACTGATCTTTCTCTACCCTACCATCCATAAAACTTCGGGTTACCTTGGAAAGTTATCTTACTATTCATCATCTAAATCTAGCGTTCTGTTTCTCATAGAACAATACAAAAGCGGAATCATTTGTATCGATTACGAAAATTGCAACGGTAGCAATACTATAGTCGCGATTGCGAAGAATAATCAACGCCACAAGTCTCCATCACCGGCATCGACTTCGAAGCCCCCTAGTTCACTATTTATAGTATTGGTACCTAGTCTTGCTCAAGTTTTCGAAGCATTGAGTCCCCTGGTTGCTTCACTACCTTCGACCACACTAGGATTACTCAGGCAACCATAGAGTTAGTGGGCTATCTTCCTTTTCTAATGTCAAAAGAAAAGAGTAAGAGAGTTCCTTCCGATGGCCAGTGAAGAGAGAATTAAGATAAGTTCTATCGGTGTTTACCAGTTGTCGATTTGTAAATTTAATTTTTCAATTTTGTTGTCACGTAGGAACAAGTTAAGCCGCAAGTGTTTGAAGAGAGTGTAGAAGCGAGTGCTCCTAGCACTGCTCATATAAATATAAATAGGTGGAGGAGGGGAGATGAGAGAATATTGCTTGGGTTCATCCCAAGCTTGGGTGCCACTCCTGAAACCTTACCACAAAGTCATTAACGTGGTTTGCGGCGCCGAAACCGGTTCAATCGCTAAAATTAGAAACCAGGGGCGAAAAAATTCATTGGCTGGCGCCTCATTCTTCCTTCTTTTCTCCATGGCTTATTTTCAAAAAAAAAAAATTTTCTTCCTTTCTTTAATTTTCTTTCCTTTCTTATTCTTATTGCTGCTACTTTCCATTCCTTTTCCTTCTTCTTAAACAAGATGGGTATTATATTTTCTTTTGTACCGTACATTAGAGAATTTTAGAGAAGAGAAAACGGAAAATGAGAATGTTATATCATTCAAAATATTATAACATTTGATCATAATAATTATATATATAATATAATATAATTTTAACTTTATTAAATTTATCATAAGATTAT